ATAATCATTTATCAAAAATTGAATAACCATATAACTACCGAATTAATTCTTAAGTAACTTGGTATAGTTAAATTTATAAATGGAAAAATATGTAAAGGTAGAGGTGGTGTGCCCAGAATACAAGAGAAAATATTAACATATTTTCAATTTCATCGAAAGATTCGATAAATATTTCATAACCAAACTTATTTGAGATAGTGGCATATTGAAATATCAATAGCGTTCTTGATTTCGATTAATAATAATTTCTTTCAGCTCGTATAATTCAGGAAATAAAATAAACCTAAAGTTTAAAACTTTTTGCGAAGTACATACCTAAACATTAGTTTTGATAGAAGTTGGCTTTTTCGCATAGCTCTACCTTTGTATAAAGGCTGGGCAAGTAAATCAAAAACCCAAACATTAATCTACACACCATGTTAAAAAAGAGTTTTCTTTGCTACTTTATTATCAAAAAAAAAGTACATTCCTGTCAAGATATCGATATAGAAAATTTGATGGAAAAGCAATACTTTCACTATTTTTTATTGAATGACATAAAATAAATAAAGAAAATCGATACTAAAAAAGCTGATTTTAAATGTTGGTTTTATTAATATATTTTATATGATATTTACATTAACATTAACTAGGCTGACCAGATTTTTACGAAGTAAAAAGAGTATTATGAATGAAAATGAAACAAATGTGAGGCTTTAAAAATAAAAACTTTTTAAAGATTACCTTTTTGGGAACAGAACAAAAATGTAGGCTTTATACTTATAAAGCCCAAAATAACCCAAAAAAAAATGTAAACCGATTCACAAACTAATTTCGAAACTTACTATTTTTCGCTATACTAGAGTTTTAATTACGTATAATTTACTGTTTCGCTGTTAGCACCATTATTAGTAATAATTTGTTAATAATTTCTTAAGAATCGGAACTAGATACGCTAATTTTCAGTTTTATAACATTTTCTAATGTATTTTTCTAAAACAAAGCCGCAGTTACCTAAAGATACGATCTAAAATCATTATATATGCATTCCAACAAGAAAGGTGAGCTTTTGGATCATATGCTGATACTTACATAATATGATAGTGATAGTAAATAACTTCCTGTTTATTCAGGTCTGTATATAAATAAAGACAAATATTACATCAGATAGCAGTAAGGTAACAACAATAGAAATATCAGTATCTATAATTGAAAAAAACACAGTTATCTATTAAAAATCTTTACGAGTATTTTATATTTCATTTAAAAAGAGTATTTTTTATGTATGTTGAAGAAGTGAATAGTAAATGGTATTCTAAGAGCGTATATCTGGTCAGTCTACTTAACCCAATTAATGTGCTCGTGTTGATTTATGCCTGTTGGTAAAGTTCAAATAACATAGAAATATACGCAATTATTATATTCATGACGACAGAAAAAATAACCAAAGATCATAAATTTATTACTTTGACTTATTGATATTTTTATACGCTTAATTAAACTATTATTAATTATTATATATCGAAACAGCTCTAATTTGGAGCACACGCAGAAAAAAAGAAATGAAAAAAGTTTTTATAAACTTTTGTAAGTTTAGAGCATTAAAATTTAAGTATTATTAAAACAAGGGAGTGGAAAACTTTTAAGGAATTTCCAGTGACAAGATATGATAAATAATCAGTTTTTATACCCGTACGAACGTATGTTCGAAGGGTATACTAAATTTGCCTTACCGTTTGTAACGCTAAGAAATAACGGTGTTAGATATAGACTCAAGTGTATGTTTTTGATCAGCGTCAAATTCTGAGTTGATTTAGCTTTGTCTGTCCGTCCGTCCGTCCGTCCGTCCGTCCGTCCGTCCGTCCGTCCGTCCGTCCGTCCGTCCGAACGATAACTCAAAAACTAATTGAGCTAAGTTCACCAAATTTTCACAAATGATTTATTGTAGTAAGTGCCAGAACCCTATTTAAATTGGACATGATCGGGGTACCGGTTGGGGTAGCTGCCATACAACTTCAAAATTTATTTGGCTATATCTCAGAAACTATAAAAGTTATGGTATTGAAATTTCACACAAACGAATATATTAGTAGGGCCATTATGCCCCATAAAAGTCGTTGAAATTACTTGGCTCCTTCTGGTACCTGCCATACAACTTCAAAAGTTATTTAACTATATCTCAGAAACTATAAAAGCTGTGATATTGAGATTTCACACAAGTGAATATATTAGTAGGGCCGATGTATCTGGTAAAAGTCGTTGAAATTACTTGGCTCCTTCTGGTACCTGCCATACAACTTCAAAAGTTATTTGACTATATTTCAGAAACTATTAAAGCTATGGTATTGAAATTTCACACAAACGAATATATTAGTAGGGCCAATGTGTCTCATAAAAGTCGTTGAAATTACTTGGCTCCTTCTGGTTCCTGCCATACAACTTCAAAAGTTATTTGACTATATCACAGAAACTATAAAAGCTGTGATATTGAGATTTCACACAAGTGAGTATATTAGTAGGGCCGATGTGCTTGATAAAATTCGCTAAAATTTCTTGGCTCTTTCTGGTAGCTGCCATACAACATCAATAGTAGTTTGGCACAACCAGTATTTTGAATAACACATAGTACTGAAATTTTGCATAAATTAATATGGTAATACGGGAACTTAAAGTCATAGTCTGCCCCATAGTTAGTTATGGCACATTAGTTATTCGCACATAGGATAACAAATTCGTACGGGTATCACAGAGTTGACAAGGTCAACTCTATTTTTTTCTCGTTTATTTTAATTTTAGCTACCGCTTTGTTCTATATTTTACGTCATTTACTATTATTTTTAGCACTTTTCCAAAAATTTTTGAAAAAAAGTGCTTATTAGTTTTACTCTGTCCGTCCGTTCGTGGACACTTTTTTTGTTTACAAAACTTCTACACCCTTGAAGATAGAAAGCTGAAATTTAATATGTACATAGATCTTTACTAGAAACTTATTACCGTAGAACAAAATTTTTACCTATCTCCCCCCCTCTAGAAGTTATACCACCGTTATAAAACCCTAAAGTTAGAAGTTATAAAACCCTAAAAATGGCCTTTTTCAACTATTTGTTGCAATAAAACCATAAGTATTTTTCAAATTTTACAAACGCAGAAAGGCAGTGGCTTGCTTCTCCTAGCGCGGTATACTATAGCTAAACTTTAGAAAAAAAAAATGGCCGTTCAAATTTACCGTCATCTAAAGTCCGTTTTTCCCAAATTTTTGATGTCGTTTTTCTTCTAGACCGCAGCCTGTAGAAGCTTGAAATTTTAAATATAAACATATATAACATTATAACATTAAAATAACATTAACTATAATTATTTTTCTTAACTCACACAATTAACCCTTGAAATCGAGCGTTATATATTGATTATATAATGCGATATTAATTTTCGCTTTATTTCAAAGACTGCATAAATCGTTCATCCTAAATATATGCAATCCTAGAAATAGTTTCGTTTATGAATGAAAATAATTTTAATAGTGTGGTAGGTGTACATATAGTGTATTTAAAAGCAGCATTTTCACTTGTTCAAGGGAAAAGCGCTACAATACAAACCATTGGTTTGACCCAACTTTATTATTTGGTAAAATCTCCTCAGCTATTTCGTTTACATTATGTATGTAGGTATTTAACACAGTTAAATGTCTGTTCGTACAGTAATTGAATAGAGAATAAAAGTACCTACCTTTGTATGTTTTGAAGTCCCGTAGCCTGATAGATTAATATGCACAGTTTTATTTTAACTTATAAAGGTATGCCTCAATTTATATCTTTTTGCTCTGGTTGGTTTCTTTTTGAACTAAAAAATTACCTAAATGACCTAGCTTAAATGTATTAATAAAATGGAGAAATCGGCGAAGTTAGTAGTTATTTTTATAAAATTATTTTTACGGATGGAATTTTTATTTTTATTAGCGCTTACAATTTTCTTTTATATTTTGGGTTCAAACCGCATCTTCTGCATCATATTTATGTAATTCGACTTCTATCTCAGCACTAATAATGAAAGTCAAAGAAATTGAAATATTTTCTGTCTTTTTTCTAGTCATTTTGATGACAATTTATATTTGAGTTTTCTTTAACCATGTCAAAGATTGATCAACTTTTAGGATATTTCAGGTTTTACAAGTTTTACTACTGGCCGATTTTATATTTGGTCATTTAAAAAAAATATATATAAGTAAATGATCAATTAATTTGCTTGAAATTTAGTATATCTACACAGATTGTTAAAATAATAAATTAGTGAATTTTTTTGAGATATGACTTTGGCAAGCAAATATTTGGAGCCGATTTCACATTTTTTACAATAATATTTGAAGAACTAGTGGACGAAAGTAATATTTGGGTTCTGTTTGCCAACGGAAACGGAACTAACCGACGAACTTTTTTAAGAGTCAAAATCATGTATTCTTGGATATCTAAATTGTCACTAGCTTTCTTAGACTTTGAAATAAGTGTCAAAAGGACAATTTGACGAAACCTTTGTTGAATACTTTTTGTTTTGTTGAGGTGTCCAAAAACTTATTATTTTTATTATAAATATTTCATAAATGCTTTGAAAATCAATTATTAAATAAAATTGAAAATAAAATTTAGAAATCATAGTTCACCTATAAAAGCAATTATAATCGAAAAATTATACATATTTAAATATTTTATTAGACATTTCTGAAATGCCATTGCGAATTGAACATACAATTTATTGTCGAATGCTTTAATCGAAATTATTTTCATTATATTGAAATTAGCGATTTTTCTTAGTTTTGAAATCAAAAATTTATTATGCTTTTTTTTAATAATAATGAAACTAATGTTCTTTTTTATTTTTATACTTTCAGGTTTTCAACATTTTCGTTTCTGTATCAGGAATTTAATTCGATATTAAACTTTTAACTTTCAACCTTTCTACATGGAACAATTTGCAATATAATTTTTGTAATAAAGAAGAAATAATAGTTACTAATATACACATATTAAACTACTGTTGCTATTACAAGAATTCTTATAACAGCAATGTTATAGGTATTAGAAATAAAATATTACTAAAAAACCAAAGGGAACAAAGTAAAAAAGTATTAAATAAAAAAATCGCAATAACAGCAGTGATAAAATTACAATGTTTGTAATAATTTACCATTATAAATTATCATTATGTTCAGTAAAATTATTCAGAAATGTTATTGGTAGTTTATAGGATGTAAAAAAGTGGGTAATAATGTATTTTCTAATGTTAAAAGTTCGTATAAAAACTAAAAGGTAACTAAAAAATACCTTAAATCCCAATAAAAACAAATTAAATAAAAAAAATTTGAAATTCTACATGTGTATGTGTGTTAAAATTTCATGCCATTTATAACAAAAAAAAATGAAAAATTAATTTAAACCTTAAATAAAATCTATAGAACAAAGTAATCAAAGATTGAAAAGTTATAAGGTATATAAAGTTTTATAAATATAGGAAATTTCTATAGTGTTCGCACAAATTCTTATATTTAATAAATAAATTATATTGTCGCGCATGTTGCATGTTCATTAATCAAAAATTGAACAGGCGGGAAAAATAATTTTACATTAGTCGGTTTTATAATAATTTCATCCCCAAATGTTGTACCAATTCTTTAAATATATATTGCATAAATTGTTATTATAAAAATATAAATTTTTTGGAAGCGTAGGCGACGATCTCTAGGAAAATAAAAAAAAAATATACCTACATAAACATAATTAAAGATAATTTATGTGCATATAAATATAAGATGTGTATTTGAAATTTCTAAAACTTTATGAATGGTGTCGTATAATCAAATCATTGGAAAATTTTAGGATCAATTTGTACAGGAAAATTTTGCTGAAGGGAAAAGCCAGGAGTCTATATAATACATATTATTATGAATTAGAAGTATTCCAAATACATAAGAAAAATAATAATAATAATATTTAATATAATAATATTGAATTGCTCCAAATACGAAATTTATAGGTATAAAAGGACATAAAATACAAAAATTATAATAAAAAATTAATGAGAAAATTTATGTGTGCGTTATATGTATATTAAACCATTATGCAATAAATTCAAATGTAAGTAACCTTTCAACTCTAAGAGATAATTTCACTACTAAGCAATATTGTCGAGTTGAATACACTTTATTCAGGATTTGAACTTAAAGTATACTGAAATAGATGACCTTAAAGTATATAAAATTGCAATGATACAATAATGTGTTTTTTTTCTTAAAAATAGAGCATAAATTTAAAAAACGTAAAATATTGAATTAAATTAAAAATCGTAGCCTAAAATATTACACTAAAATCAAACATATCTGATAACACCTTTTTTAAAATAATAATATAATTTAAAATAAGTGCCATTTTTTAAGAACCACACTCAAGAACAAGTATATATTATAAAAATCATAAACAAAAATCAAAAGGAAAATTCAAATAAAGTAATAATTATGCTGGCGTTTGATAATAAAAACCGTTCTAACAAAAGATTAACTTCAACTTTGTCATCATTGTTATTATTGTTATTATATTATAATATTATTAACAAATTTATTTTAAAAACAATCGATTATGTAGGTAAAATTTATAAAATTTTTCAATTAATTATTTTAATTTTAATTATAAATCAAATCACAACTGTGATAATTATTGTTGAAGCCACTGTTTCTAATACTTCTAATATGATTAATTTCGATGGTAATATTGATAATAATGAAGTTATAAAAATTAATAATTACAATACGAATGGGGTTAGCGATAGTGATAATACAAATAATTTAATAACAAACGATAATAATAACTATGGTAACATGATGTCACAATCTCCATTATCGTCATCTACATCATCAAATGATATGTTATTTATACGTCATGGTCGTTCAAGAGTACGTCATTCGAACGAAAAAGATCATATTAGATGGGGTCTTCAAGCATTCGATAATTTAACATTAGATTATGATATTGATGCATATGATAATGATAGTATAATTATTAATACAGGTAACGGTAATTTCTTATTTGGTAGTGATTTATGGGCATTAACTGACAACAATGGCAGCAACTATTTTAATCAAACATCATTATTATTTAATACGAATATTAATAATATACAAAAATCACGTGGCTATCAATCATACAATGAAAATGGTAATACTGTAAATGAATATGGCAATGCAAATGAAGATTACAATAACAAAATATTGCATCAACAACAAAATTCAATAATTCCTACAGTACAATTACAATATTCAATACCAACACAATCACCATCATTAACAACAACATTTCCAAAAAAAAAATTACGCAAAAAGAAAATTATGGAAAATATTAAGAAAAATGTTGATAAAGGTTTAGAATATTTAAAATCACATAAAGATTTAGATGAAGAAAATTTAAAATTACCTATACCAGTTGTAGTTGTTGAAATAAAGCAATCAATACCACAATCAACAATGCAGCTACAACAACAAAAATTATCAAAAGATGACAAATTAATTTTCAAAAAGCATTTAAGATTAAAAAAGAAAAAACATAAAACAGACAACAATTATAATGTAGATTTTTACAAAAAAGGAAATATTTATGAAAATGTCAACGATAGTATTGATAGTGGCAATGATGATGATGATGGTGGTGATTCAAGTTTTGTTAGCAATGACGACATCAACAATAATAATAACAACAATATTATTAAAAATAAAATTCATGATAATAGTGATGATAATAGCAACGATTTTCAAAATGATAGTCCCACAAGTAATACTGACATAAATAGCGATAACAGTAATAGTGAGTTCTCTTTTCATACTAATTTGCAAGAAAAAAATATGTACACAAAAACAAATGTAATGTTTCTTGAATCCAATGAAGAACCTAAGTTCAGTGAAAATGTAAACAGTAATAGTAACAGTAATAGTGACAAAAGTAATATTAATAGTAAAAGTACCATTAATAGTAGCAAGAATAATAAAAAATTACTCAATGATAATAACAACGACAATGATAGAACTTCCCAGAGAATTGAGCGTATTATTAAAGAAAATGGTGATGTCAACGAGAATAAAGAAATATCTCATAGGATTATCCATCATCCTAAGGATAAAGAGAACGTCAACTTTGATGTTTTTGTGGTAAGTTGTAATTGTATAATATAGTAAATAAATAGGGAGTTTTTTAATATTTAAATATTTATTATGTGTATAATAGAATTTTTTATGGAAATTTATAGCTTTTTTAGTTTTCTAATTTATTTGTTAGAGTGGTATTCTAAAGACGTGTAAATTAGCGAGATTTTTTTTACTTGAAATATAAAAATATAAACTACTTACCTCATTTGTTAATTAAATGAAAAATTAAAACTAATTAGTCTACCATACAAAATTCGATTACTTTACGTTTTATGTTTGTCATTGAAAGTACGGAGTATTACTAAAAATTAATTGTTTTTATGAAAAACTTTTGAATTTTATTAAAAAAAAATCTGATGTAGTCAGCACATAACCGACCGCATTGTATATTGTCTAGTTAAGTGAAAGGGTTACAGAATATTATAAAAATGTCTGTTAAATACTTCTTTCCAATTTTTAGGACATTAGTAAGCTTATAGTTAATATACCTAGAAAAATGTAAATTTGACTCTTAGTAGAATTTCGCTTTGTGTTACCCGAATTCCATGAAATGCTCGCCAGTTAGTTTCGGTAACAACCACAACTCAAATATCAACTTTCAAGAAATTCCATCAATTCGCTCCGTAGATATGGTGAAAAAAATAAAATCGGCCCGCAGATCAGTTTTTGTCCCCTGATCTTTCCAAAAAATTTATATGTTCATTGTTTTAATTCGAGGAATTCAAATATTAAATTTCAATGAAATCGGTCAATTATTTCCTCTTTATATACGCAAAAATGTATATTTGGCCCGTAGTAAACGTTCAGTTGCTGATGCCTGATTTCTTTCAAAAGTTAGCAATTTTCGCGAACGATCGAGCAAAGTTCATATATGAAATTTCAAGTAAATCGGTTGAATACTTTCTTCAAAATGTTGAAAAATTCCACCAAGTAAAACAGGCCCGCTAAAAAGTGCAGTTCCCGAGGCCTGATATATCCCAAAAGATGATATATATTGATCAATCCTTGCCATGGTGGAAATAAACTTACATATAAATTTTCATCAAAATCCGTTCAGCAGAACTTGAGATACACGTGTGCACACACAGACCGACAGACCGACGGACCGACAGGTTGCTAAAAATAGTTTACTTACACTTCCCTACTATGGAGAAGTGCATTCCCACTGAAAACTCGATATGCAAAATTTGTTGCCATCACATAACCTACCTATTGTTTACACAATACGGTCGGTAAAAATATTCGATTTCTAATAATTCTTAAGGAAAAAGGTCTAGGCTATAATAGGAAAGTAATGGATGCAGCAAGGATGTGCAATCATGTAAAAATCATGGAAAATGCATCAATACAGTAATACTTTAAAGTTTGGTGTCCAAATATGTCAAGAATACATACGTATCGTGTGCGCATCATATTAAATGAGTCGCGCATCAATTTTTTTTGCGATTTTGTATTGATGCAAAGTTTTTTAAGTGGAAGCTGAGAAGCAAATAATTTATTATTTTAACCAGTGGTCGAAGTGGGATACTCAAAGTGGTGGGATGGTTAAAAAAAAAAAAGTATTATTTTAGTTATTTTTTATAAAAATAACTCAACAAAATTTACCAAACTTTGGAAGTAAACTAACGAGAATATTTATATTCAAAATTAAATCAACTAAAAATTGAATCAGAAACTGTGCAAATTGTTGCCAAAGAAATGCATAGACTACTATGTAGTAACGAAAATTTCACTAATAGAAAAAAATTATACGTTACTATTTGAAATTGGTCTTATTTAGAATTACATATATTTAATTTTTTGTTAAAAAAATATTTAAAATTAATTAGAAAATATTCTTAAATTTTAAAAAACGTTCCGGAACGCATTTTTCTCTCCTATTAAGTAGTGGGATGGATTTCCAATTATTTAAAAGTACTGGGATGGCATCCCACTCCATCCCGCCTCACTTCGAGCACTGATTTTAACTCAATAACTAAGAAAGTTAATTATTTCTTTGTGCACGGTATTAATATTTTTAAATGTTCCATGGAATTAAAATCTCCAAACCTAAATTGAAATTAAAAAATTTTTAATAGATTTTCAGTTGTTAATAATTTTACACAAAACCTTTTCAAAATAAACGCCAAAAAACATATAATTTAGAAAGTGTCCAAAAAGTCAAAATAATATTGCATTAGCAAGGTAAACGCATCACAGATTTACTTTGAAGATAAGACGACTTCGGGTATCATCGGGTAACATAAAGTGATTCATAAGAGCAGCACGTAAAGTGAATTATTAAGAACAAAATTATAATAGGTACATATATTAAATTTGGAAGAAGTGCTCACAGGCTATTCCCATAATCTTACGCAATCATCCCATAATCATTCTGGTCGATCCACATCTGTTTTTTTTCTTATATTTTGCCTTATTCTAATGTGGTAAAATATTTAGTTGTTTAACTTATTAGATACCAAATTTTGATCATTTTTTTTAAAGAGAATTAGAAAAAGGTGAAAATGTTACTAAACTTAGTTTTGGTTAAAATTTTTTTATTAGTTTTTTTCAGTTTTTTTATGGATATCGCCTTTTGGGAATCACGGTTTTTATAGCGAAGAAAAATTATTCGTATTTTTGTTTTGTATTTTCGTTTAATTCCCACTAAAATAATAGTTTATTCCAGAAACAAATTATTGCATTGCAAACAATTCTAACTCAACAAATAAAAATTTCTCAAATTTGTTCTACGGTTTATGTTATAAAAAAATCAGTCACCAACAAAAAAAAGAGTTTATTCTTTGAGCGAATATTTTCGATACTTTGAAATTGCATTTATTTTCGGAATTTTAAAACAATTTTAGTATGGAAAGTACTAAACGTTATCGTTTTTCTAATTGCAAAATTTAAAGTACGTTTGTTTGAACAATTTTGTTTTTCTAACTTCTAATTTAAAAGTGTGAGAGTTGTCAACGTCAATTTTTACCGACCGTATTGTGTAAACAATAGGTAGGTTATGTGATGGCAACAAATTTTGCATATCGAGTTTTCGGTGGGAATGCACTTCTCCATAGTAGGGAAGTGTAAATAAACTATTTTTAGCAACCTGTCGGTCTGTGTGTGCACGCGTGTATCTCGAGTTCGGCTGAACCGATTTTGATGAAATTTTATATGTAAGTTTATTTCCACCATGGCACGGATTGATCAACTTTTGGGATATATCAGGCCTCGGGAACTGCACTTTTTAGCGGGCCTGTGTTACATTTTTGAACATTTTGAAGAAAATATTCAACCGATTTACTTGAAATTTTATATGTAAGCTTTTCTCGACCGTCCGCGAAAATTTCTATATTTTTGAAGAAATCAGGCATCGGCAACTAGACGTTTACTACGGGCCAAATATACATTTTTGTTTATATAAAGAGAAATAATCAACTGATTTCATTGAAATTTAATATATGAATTCCTCATATTAAAGCAATGAACATATAAATTTTTTGGAAAGATCAGGGCTCGAAAACTGATTTGCGGGCCGATTTTACATTTTTCACCATTTTGAAGAAAATATTCAACCGATTTCATTGAAATTTAATATTTGAATTCCTCGTACTTAAACAATGAATATACAAATTTTTTGGAAAGATCAGGGCACAAAAACTGATCTGCGGGCCGATTTTACTTTTTTCACCATATCCACAGAACAAATTGATGGAATTTCTTGAAATTTGATATTTGAGTTCTGGTTGTTATCGAAACTAACTGGCGAGCATTTCAGGGAATTCAGGTAGCACAAAGCGAAACTCTACTAAGAGCCAAATTTACATTTTTCTAGGTATGTTAACTATAAGCTTACTAATGTCCTAAAAATTGGAAAGGAGTATTTAACAGACATTTTTATAATATTCTGTAACACTTTCATTTAACTAGACAATAGACAATGCGGTCGGTTATGTGCTGACCACATCAGATTTTTTTTATTACTTTCATGTTAAATTTTAATTAGAATACGCCCTATTTGCCAATCAAAGCAATCTTCTCTATTTTTTCAAAAAAATAAAAGGAGCAAGTTATCAAATAAGATATATGCTTAGTTATAGAAAATTAACTTTCAAAAGTTAAAAAAAATTGTGCCATAAGAAGAGTATTTCTGATAAATAAACCTTAGTTTTGAAAAGACCAATATCATATTTTAGAAAATAAAAGCAGCGAATGAAAACATATGCAATTATTTCGGAAAACTAAGTTGTACTAGCCTTCCCTTTAGCAATAAAATTGACCTTGGTAAATGGTATGATGGTTTAATAGTATGTATGATTTTGCATTGTTTTTTTAATAATGACAGAGAAAATACACACACTTACGTTCCTTTGATTTCCAAGAATATGTTTAGCAGAATAAATTTATTGTATAAAACAAAAATTGTGAAAACATACAATTATACTGCCTTATGTAGAAAGTTTTCAACCTTGCCAAAACACAAAATTACAATATTATTTTATAACAGTACAGTGTTTACCTTAATTTTTGGTAAACTCTGGTAGGCTTTTAGTATGTACCTACCGAATTAATTTAAAAAGTTATACCAAAGTTACCTATCAAAAGTTTTCAAAACCCAAATAAATTATAACAAATTAGATATATACATTATATTTCTAGCACTACTATAGAAGTAGAAACAAATAATATAGAAATATTAAAAGTAATTTTTTCCAAGATCTAGTTCGTTGAATAGTGCCGTACCTTTTGCAATAATTTTACAGGTGTCTTAATTTAAAGTTAATCAAAATGTACAAAAATCAATTTTACTCTGTAAAAACTCACTTCACATACATTGCCCAAGCATAGTTTTTTTTGTTTGTTTTAATTTACATATACATTCATTGAGGAAAACACCTTTTTTATGCATATAAAAATCTATCCTTTTAGTATTCTGAACATTATCTGGGAAAATGAAAATGGGAAACTTTTTCAATTATTTCCACTCTTTGTGGTAATAATTTGTAATGAAGTCATTTTTCTGTTGATTAAGGAAAAGACATGACCAAAAAATTCTAAAATGAAGTAAAAATAATCATGAAAAAAAACTTGCCAAAATGGAAAACTTTTCATTAATTGATCTTTATAATAAAATTTCGTATGTATGTTATGTGCTAGTATGTAAATATTATGTATAAAAAAAACTAGTACAAATTAATTGCTAAAACAAAAGAAAAAATGTGGACGTTGACTTGCTGGCAGTTTTGATTTCCAAACATACTTATTACAAATTTTGCATATCAAGTTTTGGGTGGGAATGCACTTCTCCATAGTAGGGAATTGTAAGTAAGCTATTTTTAGCAAATTGTCGGTCTGTCGGTCTGTGTGTGCACACGTGTGTCTCAAGTTCGGTTGAACCGATTTGGATTTTGGGCCTGTTTTACATTTTTGAACATTTTGAAGAAAATATTCAACCGATTTCTTTGAAATTTAATATTTAAATTTTTCATATTAAAACAATAAACATATAAATTTTTTGGAAAGATCAGGGCTCGAAAACTGATCTGTGGGGCGATTTTACATTTTCACCATATCTACGGAACGAATCGATGGAATTTCTTGAAATTTTCAGTGAATTCGGGTAGCACAAAGTGAAACTCTACTAATAGTCAAATTTACATTTTTCTAGGTATGTTAACTATAAGCTTACTAATGTCCTAAAAATTGGAAAGAAGTATTTAACAGACATTTTTATAATATTCTGTAACACTTTCACTTAACTAGACAATACACATTGCGGTCGGTTATGAGCTGACCACATCAGATTTTGTGTTAGTACTATATATATGTATATATGTATTAATGTATACATATATGTGTGCAATTACCCGAGTCTATTTTTGAACTGTAATCATGCATTCCCATCACAACTGGTTTAATAATAACGGGTGGTACTTTTTTGTACTTAATTATAAACGACAGTATTTACCTATACTACGTGGTAGTTTAATAAAAAAAACACTGTAAATAATGGAGATTAACAATTTAAGATATTTCATTGAAAACAAGCTTAATATAAATACAAATGTCAGTGTATAAATTTTTACCGACCGCATTGTATACAATAATGGAGTTTATGTGATGGCACAAAATTTCGTATCGCAACTCAACGGAACTATTTTTAGTAAGATGTCGGTCTGTTCGTCTATCGATATGTCGGTCTGTTTGTCTGTTTGTTTGAGTAGATGTAAAGTTGAGATACAATTGCGGTTCAATCAGTTTCCTCGAAAATTAATATCTGAGTTTACTTTGGTTATTTAACGGATTGATCAACTTTTGGTATATGTCACAGGAGCTGGATCTTTACTACGGGTTCATTATAATATATTTGGTAATTTTTAAGATAATATTCAATAGATTAACTTGAAATTTTATATATAAGCTTCGTTCGACAGTGTAGGATACAATCCAACATTTGGTAGAAATCAGGTGGCAGCAACCGGACGTTTGTTTACGGGCCAAACTTATATTTTTGCGCATATGAAAAGAAATAATCAACCGATTGCCTTGATTAAAAAGTGAGTAACTATCATATGTTTGTATAATTTAATTTTCGAATGAGAATAATTATTAGGTATTGCGCATCCCGTTTTTCTCTAAAATGTATACAAAATTTTTTCACTTTGTTTTTAAAAGTGAGACGTTCAGTCGATAATTTAAGAAAAAATGCAAATATCCAATTGAAAAAACGAGTAACCTTATTTGAAAAATGGAATATCCATTAAAAAATGGAGAGTTTTGATTTGAAAATGAATAAAAAGTGAGTAAAAAAGCGAATTACACGGTTGTGTTGTTAATATATGAATTCAGGGTTTTAAAACCATGAACCTCTAAAATTTTGGGTAGTATACAAGGCTCACAAATCGATTTTACATTTCCTGTTATATCTAAGTCGCCAACTGACGCGATTTTCTGAAATAGTTTAGTTTGCTACTAAAAGAAATTGATGAATTTCTCATAGAATTCGGATGGTATAAAGTAAACATTTTTTTTAGATGTGTTAGCATACTTAAAACTATAGCATACTTAAAATTGGAAACAAATTTTTCTAATATTCTGTAACACTTTACGCTAAACTGGAGAATACACGTTGCGTACGGTTATATGCTAATCACATCATACTTTTTAATTTTTTTGTTGTTTTGAAGAAAATATGGAAAAAGTCACATTTTCTATGATAAGGTTGCTTGCATTTACCACATCCAAAAGTACCACAAGTGCTTTTCTTTAAACGGTGATGTTTTTTATGTATGAATTACATTGTATTTCGTGCAAAAAAACATTGTGTGAAAATTTTCTATTTTTATGGCGGGCAAAATATCAATTCATAATTTAGGAATTCTAGTTTAAACATTAATGAAACTGAAATTTGGGAGTCCCATGTTTAATTATAGGACAGACATATATAGATTTTTATGGATTAATTTGACAGGTTCTAGTAAGCCATACAACCATTAAACCTAGTTCTAAATATTTCAAAAAGAAGATTTTATACTCAGATTATTAAGGTGCAGGGTATAATACAGTCCGTTTAGACTATTTGAAACGTTTTTATTTGTTTTTAAATTTTATTTATTTATAAAATTCAGCTCCAAATTTCCAAAATTTTTGCAGTGAAAATTATTTTAAAAACAGGACTTTTACAAAACATTATTATTTATTATGAATTTTAGAATTCAGTGGCAAGTTGAATTATCGACCAGTTTGTAAATATGTAATTATTTTTTTGGTGTCAAGTTTATTACTTTATAATAAATTGAGACTCAACATCAACTGGACTAAATATTCTATTTAGGTAAACATATTTTTCAATTATTGTTAATTTATTTTCAAAATAATATATAATTTGTCACAAGATTTTTTGTGTGATTTATGATTTATTCATATTGGCGCCATTGTGTAAAATAAAAAGAAAAAGAAATTTTGATAATATTATGGTGTGGAGTGAGTTTTTTTACTTACATATTTTAAAATAAGTTGAAATGTGTTACAATTCATTTTTAACAATTTGATATACTAGAACAGAAATTTTAATTTTGAATTTAGAATATGTACATATTATGTACATATAACTCTTACTTGACTTCTTAGTTTAATGATTCTAGATACGCATGAATCACACCTATTCTTTTCATTAAATTATTACTTACCTTTTATTAAATAATATACTTACATTATCGTTTTGAACGATATAAATCATATTTTATTCGCGTCATCTACATTTGTTTACGTGAAATTATACTTTGGGTAGATACATATACGTACCTATAAGTATTTACATGAGAAAGTACGTACATACATATACATTCGTTAGTTATATTGCGTCAATGAGAATGTATATGAAATTAAATAACAATCCTTAAGGATACAAAAATTTAATTTCATAATAAAAATAATGCGTATTAAAGAAAAATATCTCAATTGATAAACATAAGTACATAATGCATGTACATATGTATGTACGTACCCGTACATATAATGCTCTAGCGATATTCTACTGTCTGATCAAGCTTTCTACTTTCCCGACCATATGCAAGAATTTTGTTTTGGCAGATTTTCGGTAATTTGTTACATCTGATTCTATCAACACAAATCTGACGACATTGTCCATGTATAAATTGAAATACGTATTACTATAATTTATAAAGACTAAAGTTTTCGCAACGAAGCCAGCATTTGCAAATTATTAAATAACTTTAATAAGTAAATTATAGAATTTAAGTTCAAGTACCTTTTTGCACTATTTTCAGAAAGTTAAAGGATTAAACTATTGCCAATATCAGTAAAGTTTTAGAAAATAAACTTAGATCAAATGGTTAACTGAATGGTAAAGTGGAATTTATTTATGTCATGCCTATAACGTCCCGAAATATTCTAAGTTAATGAAAATTCCTTGGTTTAAAAAACTAATAAATATTAAACAAAGTGAATAGTTACTCTTTATTGAGAAAAAAACAAATATGCAGATAACCAACACGACAATTTAATTTTTTATTCTGTTTAAAACCGGGAAAATAATCATCCAAAGTGGATGAAAAGTGAAATCATAATTTTTGTTTTTCTATATTTTGATAAAAATAAATTATTCCATTTTCGTTTCACAAAAGTTTTCATACTAAAAATATTTTTTTATCTATATTTTATATTTTACCTTTGTTTTTGCAGGATTCTTCAATGGAATATCAACAGCAAGAACCTGAACATCGTGAGTATAGTAGAAAACATTCGCATAAACAATCAAATATATCACCATCACACAATGTAAGGATCAACAATGGCAATGGCAAACAGGGATTTGAAAGATCTGAAAATGTTGAAAAGAAAAATCATAAACAAGGGTATGGAAAACGAAGTCATATGAAAGTGAAAGAGGAAAATAATAATTTTTCTTCTTTTAATTCGTATGATGATGATCAAATAATAAATAACTCAGCCGGGCAGCAATATGCCCAACAACAAAAAAATGACCAATATTATTTACAAGAACATAAGAACAAAAAACACTCAAACAATGATGAAGTTAGTGCAATTTATGAGAATAATCCCAATAGTAAAGAGGAAATCATTCAGCATAAAAAATTTGAAAATGGTACCGACAATAAAACTCACCTGAATCCAAATTCCTATGAAGGTGAAGAAACAAATCTAACAATAATCAAAAGTAATGTTGATGAGATGAAGGAATCAGAATTTGAGACAAATGTAAAAAGTTTTAACAGCAACCAATTTGAGAGTTCTACCAATAATAATAGATTAATTGTAAAGAATAATGTTGATGACTTCTCTAGATACTTTGATGACACTGATAATTATAACAATAATAAAAACGAAAACAAAGTTATAAATACTAAACAGAACCATGCGGTGTTTAAAGATTCTGAAGACAATCACCATAAAAACGAACAAACACGTCAACAAAATTATCAATTATCAAATAATAATAATCAAAAACTAAGCTTGTCTGATCAGAATACAAAGTATAATTTAATAATTGCTAATTCAAAAGTTGATGCTAGTAATAATGTGAATTATAAGCTAGATGTAGTTGAAGATAAAACTATTCAAGGTTTTGAGGAAGAACATAAATCAATAAAAGATGGAAATGAAATTCTTTATTATCACCCTAATAATGAACAGAAAAATATTGGCTCGATTAACAGTAACAGCAGTAATAGAAGCAGTAATAACAATAATGATAATAAATTTTATCATAAAGATGAAAATAATAAGAATCATAAAAATATTGATAAATATGATGAAATGATATACGACACTATGAATGATGAAACATTTACTGGGGATACAAATATTAATTCAGATCAGGATACAATTTTGTTCGATGATGATGGTATTGGAACGAATGTTGGTGGCATTATTATAGGTAGTGGTGGCACCAGTGATGACAGCAGTATTGAATTAAATTCAGATTTAGAATTAGATACAAAATATCCGGGTACTGTTAAACCTGATGATAATGATAATATTGATAATGATGATTATGATGATATTAGTAGAAAAAATCGTTTAAATTTGGTTAAAGGACGTGATGTGGTTACAAAATTTTTACAAATTGTTGAAACTCAACATTTACTTGGAGCAAATTGTAAAGCTGGTACTGCATTAAATTTAGGAGAAGGTGTAGTGGATCGATATGCACAGGATAGATTCCGTGTTGAAGCAGAGGTGGCTGTAAATCGTGCAAATATGTTGACAAGGTATGAAAATTTTTTGAAAAAAAGCATTATGAAAAATTTATTTATTCGAAATATTGTAGTAGGAATAAGGATATTATTTTCCCTCAACAGATTTTTTTTCTGTCGTTCCTTCTTTGTCATACCTTTTATTTTTTTGTAAGGTTTCATTTTCATATAGTGAAATCATTTGTTAACCAAATCAGCAAACTGAATTTCAAACAGTATTCAAATTTACATTATTAGAATTTTTCTTGGGATTTTTACGTGTTATAATTATGATATTGTTTCTAATTTGTTTTTATAAGTATAAAACTTGTTGAGTATAAAATCTGGGTTTTTCTTTTTATAGAATAAATTTTTACAATATATTTGGTTAATAAAGTATTTAGTCTAGAATTCTGTACACCAGTAGCTTTCCAGTTTCAGTTTTTGTGAAGTGGTTACTCTTACACCGCAAAATAAAACTTGTATATCCTATATGTATTTATCAATGTAAATATTTTATCAATATTCTTTCAGAAATTTATTGATAATATAAATGGAAATTAAAAAAAAAAAACCATTTTAAATAACTGTATAATTCTTATTAATTTTGATTTGAAAGTTTAATTCTATCAAAAGTCGTTGTCATCAGAAACGTATTTAATAAGCATCAGTTTCGAAAGAATAATGAAGAATGAGTTTCACTTTCTTTAATTAAACTTTTTTTTAACTTTCTTCTTTTATTTTATGTTACACGTGAGAAGTTGCTAGAGAAATCCTTTTAATTTTTTTTAAGAACTTTCCGCCTGTTTTACTGTCTCAGTGAATGGTAGAATTCCACTGAAAAATTGATTTTAGAAAAATTCAAAGCTTCATAATAAAAGTAATATAATTAATGATATACATAGGACAGATATGTATGTAATTTCATTATTCAATCAAAGAGCATGTATATCATAAGTCAGAAGCAGTTCTTATGTAGAAAGACAATCTCCCATTTGCCAATCGTTGTAATTACTAAATCGGTAATAATAAAAATTAGTCCAAACGTGAACAAAGAACATAAGTCCTACTATAGGCAGTAGAATTGTGTTTTTATTTTATTAAGCACATACAATTATGAACAGAGTAATTCAAAAGTTCAGAAATCTTTTTAAAAATATTTCGCTGAGCAAATTCTTTTGTACCAAGCAATTTAATTGACTTAGAGATGTCTAATATTTACATAAATTATTATGTATAGTTAAACTAAATTACAGGTAAAATTCAGTATATGTATATACATTGAAATGATCATCGGAAAAAAAAGGATTATTTTGAAATATCTTTCGATTTTCTCATAAAGTAAGAGTGTCTAAGAAAAATCATAAACTATAGAAAATATTTCATTAAACAGTGACGAGACGTAAGGCAAACAATCAAAGTGGTATTTTTTATGTTAAGAAAGCAAGGTGTTATACGAATATTGGTACAAACTTTACCAATTTATAACTGAAAAGAAAGAAAGCAATGCTCTAGGTTTTTCGGAAAGTATTGAAAGAAAAGTTTTTAGAGATATCATAGCACTGGAATGTGAGCTTTATTCATTAAATCAAACTGTAATTAATTCCAACAATAACAATCACTAATAACAATCTAACAATTAAAAAACTTAATGAATAATTTTAATTTAACAATTTTATACCTTGAAAAAATTTTAGGCATTTTGTTCGTAGAAAAACATGTAACATTAAAATCAAAATAGGTTTATAGTACCTATATACACTTAAAAAAATCTGACGTGGTCAGCAATATTATAAAAATGCCCTTTAAATGCCTCTTTAAGTGAAACGTGGTTCACTTTTCAAACTCTTTCAAATTTAGTTTTGCTTCTTAGAGAAGATTCAGGTTATGCCGTCCGAATTTCCTGAGAAACTTGTCAGTTATATTTATTTAGTTCAATTTTATTTATTTAGTTTAACTTCACAAAGTGTAAAAGTGAATTTAAATGATTTTGCCCTAAAATTCAGCGGTTCCGTCTCAGGTTTCGCTCTTATAATACTTGAATGTGGATGCTATTAAATTGATAATGAAAAAAATATAATGAGGTAATGAAAAAAATATCATAAAATTTTAATAATTTTTTATATTTTAATATTTTATACTATTTTAATTTGTTTTTAAAATTACGAGAGGGCACCGCATTTATTATAATGAAATTTTTCTTTCCAAATCTTTTTGATTAAAAGTTTTTCGTCAACTCTGTATTTTATATAGGAAAAAGTGTATCCGTGCTTGATATTACAACAATTTGAACAATGCCACGTGCTGATATTTAACATTTTTCTTTCCATTTTCTACCTGTTAAATTTTTTTTCTTTATTGCTTCCATTTAATTTTATTGCTTGTGTATTTGTATATAGATGTTTCTGCTTATAGATACGTAGTTGTAAATCGTACATACAGTGTATTATAATAGTATAAAAAAGCCGATATAATGATTAAAGCTGCCTATAGATGTTTAGGGAAATCAATGAAAATATGATTTCAATAAAAATGATTTACACAAATATTTTTGTAATGCTTCATCATTTCTTTGGAAATCAAACTAGTGGGAAAGAAAATTAACAAATTCTTTTTATTGAAAAATAAAGGAAATGAATAATTTTCGTAACATCCTTCATATCAGAAATTTATTATATTTAATGGCAGATTACATTTTCGTGAGCTTTTACATTTTTGTATGTTATAGCTGATTTTCACAAAAAAAGAAAAAAATTGAGTTATTCACTTATTTTTAAAGCGGGAATTTTACTACTGTAACTCAATTTGCAGCACCTTTTAATATTATAGATAGGGCATTCGAACTCATTCTTCGTTTTCAATACATTCTTCGTTTGCAATAATTGAATTTAAATATAAATTTTAATAATTTGTTCATTTATAATATTATAAAATAATAGTTGCATATAATTAGTTAATATAATAGTTGCGTATATCTCAAGTTCGGCCGAACCAGTTTTGATGAAATTTTATATGTAAGTTTATTTCGACTATGGCACGGATTGTTCAACTTTTGGGATATATCAGGCCGCGGGAACTGGATCTCTTAATGAGCCTGTTTTACATTTTTGATCTTGTTTTACTTGAATTCATTCGACCGTACCCGAAACCTCCTAGCCGACAGACCGTCAGATAGACCAATACTTTTCTAAAACTATTTTATTTATCTTTTATTGTCAAGGAGAAATGCAGTTCCGTTGAAAACACGATATGTGAAATATTAGGTATGATTGCGATACTTTTGATATAGTAGGCAATTTTTTTAGAGAAGAATTCTCACTTTTGCGAAAATTAAAAAAAAAACTAAAAATTTGGACTTCTTTTCGCCTAAACTTACCTTCGGTCATATAGAATACAAGATGATTGAATCAAACCAATGGTTTGTAATGTAGTACTTTTCCCTTCAACAAGTGAAAAAGCAGCTTTTAAAAACAATTTATGTACACTTTTAAAATTTGTGTACACTATTTCAAGGATTGCATACATTTGGGATAGTCTTTGAAATAAAGCAAAAATAAGTATGAAAAGGTGTTAACATAATGCTCAATTTTAAGGGTTCATTGGTTGAGTTAAGAAAAATAATTTTATTTTTTAATAGTACGGAATTTACCGTTGGTTTTCTGTGTTAATAGAAATTTAAAAAAGTTTGCGGTTTCGAAAATTCATATTTTACAAATTTCGAAAAACTTGAGAGGGGCGGAAGTGGGAAACGATTTTCTTCTAACGAAGTGAGCTATTTATTAGTGTCTATAAGCTGTTAACATTTCAGACTTTCACAACCAGGCGCCCCCAAAGGAAAATAACATAAAAAGTTTGGAAAAAGCGGGATATAGATAACGGTCAAATTTAAAGGCCATTTTGCATTTTAAAGTTCAAATATAGTGTGCCGTGGCAGAAGATCTATGGAATTATAAAATTGCAGCTTTCTATTTTCTTCGGCGTAGAAGCTTTGTAAACATGTCCAAGGACAGAGAGACGTACGGACGGATGGACAGAGTGATACTAATAAGCGCCTTTTTTCAAAAGTTTTTTGAAAAAGTGCTAAAAAAAGGCACTTGTTTTTAAAAGTAAATTTTTATTTTGTCACAAGTTGTTTGCCAATGTATTTCCATATTTTCGAAAGTTTCTCAGAAGTTTTGTTGCATAAATACAATTTTGTATCTAATTCTTCTAAATGTTTATCAAATGTAGAAATATAGCATCTATATATATATGTTTAGTTTCTATAGTCCTTAAATTAATAAATATGAATTTGTGTGTTGTTTTTGAACAGCAAAGTTATGAAAAAGCAATTTTCAAAATTCAATTACAAATAAAATTTTGTTTTGTTTTTTATATTCGCATATTTCGTCAACAGGATATTTGCGTGCATTCAAATTCACAAAATTTAACCAAGAATGAAATTTTCTATAAAGTGCGTTTCTATGATTTCCTTCAATTCCCTTATATTCCCTTCATAATTTCTTTTATACAGTTTTTATTAAATCATAAACGAATACTTATTTGTGAGTTATTTTCGTGCAAATAAAAAATTTTTTTAAAAGTTTTTAATTCATTACAAATACAAATAATATTTTCAATACTAAAATATAAACTTACATTTTTGTTCAGTTGAAAACTTTCTTTCCGGTTAGATTTCAAATTGTAAAAGTTAAAAAGAAATTTCACAATAGAAAATGATTTTGAATCCAAAAATTTGTATGGAGAGCTAAAATGTTCAAGCACTAAGGTTTTTGTTTACGATGTACATTACGCACTTAAAAAACCACCAGTTTAATAAAAAACTAACAAAATTTAAAACAGTAGTTTTTGAAAAAATTGATTTTAGAACAAGTAAAAACGTTTCAGTCGGTATAAACCGATTGAATTATACCCTGCACCTTTCGTTATTGTGTAGCAATTACTCGAACTTGTGAGATCATTCTATAGAAACTTCACGGACATGTCTGACCTATAATTAGACATCCGACTGCCAAGTTTCATCAATCTGACCTTAT